GCTATTGAAATGAAGAAATAGATAAATAATGGATAAAAATAGTAGTGATGAATGTGTATAAAGAACATTAAAAATGAAGGGATTTTTTAAATTAATTCATAAATGAAAAAAGGAAAAAATCTAAAATACAGAGAAATCTAAATACAAAGGGATTTGGAGTGGAATTAGTCATAAAATATTTCACTAAGTTTAAACAAGAGAAGGAAAAAATCTGAAATGCAGAGAAATGTGGAGTAAAATATATAAAATAATTTTTTTTAATCATGCACTCTGTATTCAACTGGAGTTCAGTATATTCAATTATAAATGATTTAATTTTTTGTGAGGAATTGAGAGGTATTTGAAGCATAATTAACACTAAATTGTTTAACTAAATTCAAAGGAAAAAAGGAAAAATTTTGCAATTTAGAGAAATTTGGAGTAAAATCTATGAGATGATTTTTTGTTAATCACGTCATGTTTATTCAATTGGAATTCACCATATCCCATAGAAAAGATATCAGTATTATTATTATACTATTAAAATTAAGTAATAAACAAATAATATACAAAAACAATAATAGTATATTTGTCTAGAAAGTATTGAATAGTGTCTAATCAGGAGATTCTTTCATTTTTTCTTTTAATATAAATAGAAAATATGTGGAATAAAATTTATAAATTTGGAACAAAATTCATGGAATCTTTTATTACACCATTCATTTATTAATATCAATGCATAATAATCCATTCGTCCCACTTTGATAGTCTATTTTTGATCTATCCAAAATTGTAGTCTCATTCCAACTCACACATATCTTATCTTAGAAAACGCTGCTCTTTTATTAGCTCGTTCATTAGCCTTACCTAAGACCCACTTTTCAATTCAAAAATATAATTAAATTTTAATTTCTCTAATAATATCTTTATTTATAGTACTTTATTATCAATGAGTATAATCTACTTTATTCATTAATTGTTTAGATTCATAGTTTGAATGGTACAATTTTTATAGTATTTTTATTGCAATTAATGTAAAAGTGGTGATTAGTTATCCTTTTGATATTGGTTTAATGGTATTTTAAGAAAATAGTAGACTGGATTTACTCTTTTAATAGAGTTAAGCAGCTTTTCTTAAACTATGTGCAAAAAGAAAATACTACCAAAATAGAACAAGGGAGTAATTAGGACACAATTTATCAAACAAAAAGCTTTTCAAAGAAGCAAGCAGGTAAAAATAAATTCAACCTTGCATTCTCTATGTGTAGCCATTTCCAATTGTTAAACATTATTTTTCTATTATCTAAAAGTCATTGAAAAAATAGGTGCTCAGTGCATTTAACACAAAAAAATTAGTATAATTATTTTTTTAGCAACAAAGAAATAAATAAATGAAGCATAAAAATAGTAATAGTTAATGTATCCAAAGAGCACTAAATAAGTGTCCAATCAAGAAAGTTTCTATTTTTTTGGCTAATATAGAGGAATTTGGAGCAAATTGTATCCTGATTGTTTTGTTAGATTATTAGATTATGTTCATTAATGGCAAGCATTTTTCACTAATATAGAGAAATTTGGAACAAAATTTATCCTGGAATTTTTTGTTATGCTATGTTTATTAATACAAAGTAATAGTTAGGAAAAAAGCCATTTAAAAAGGGGAAAACTCAAAGAAATAGGCAGGAAATAATAAATTTTGCTTTATATGTTGTTTGTTTAACCATCTAATGCTATTATTATTTTTTGGCTATTTAAAACGTACATAAGTAATTAAAGCTCACCATTATTTTTTACCAAGACTTTATATGTTGTTTGTTTAATCATCTATTGCTATTATTACTTTTTGACTATTTAAAATGTATGCAAGCAATTAAAGCTCACCATACTTCGTTTTCTTTTTCAGTAATTTAGAAAAATTTTGAACAATATTGGTATTAAAATATTCAATTGAATCTAGAACAAAATTATACTAATTTTTTTTTTCACGCAAGTAATTAAATGATGCATAACACATAGGGGTCGATAGTGCCCCTACGAGTTTCCTTTTTTGAATGGCGTCTCCTGCACCTTTGGCTCCCCCTAGATAGTATGCTTCAGAAAAAGGGGGTGGCATTATGTTCCAGATGTAGCTGCTGCCAGCAGGCCCAAGAATCTGTCAATCATCTCTTCATGCATGGCTCTTTGGCTAGGGCTGTGTGGGACCACTTTTTTAAAGTTTTCGGGCTTCTCTCGCTTAACACGCCGGGTGTTGCTACTATGTTGTCCCACTGGTTCTTCTCTCACGACAGGGTGTCCACAACACAGGTGCGGGTTCTTATCCCCTTGTTGGTCCTCTAGTTCATTTGGAAGAGTAGAAACTCGGCAAGATTCGAAGCTGGCTCTATCACTCTGGCTCAAGTGATTTTTCGAATTGAGGAGTTTCTGGACCAGATGGGTAAGGCGCGAGCATTCTCCAGGGCCTCCTTTGCTGGCGATCGGGATTGTCCATGGGCGGGCTTGGGCGGCCCATATAAGAGGGATAAGGGTGTTGTGCTTGTTTCCTGGGAGAAGCCATCACTGGGGTGGGTCAAACTTAATACTGATGCCAGTGTCCTCCATGGCAAGGCAGCTGGGGGTGGGGTCCTGCGAGATCATTGTGGGGGGTGATCTTTGCCTTTTACAAGGAGTTTGGAGAGATGGATGTGTTGGAAGCAGAGGCGTAGTCCCTCCTAGAAGGGTTACGAATGTGCGCAAACCGGGCAGCAGACGCGTTGACTGTTGAATCAGATTCAAAGGTGCTTGTTCAATTAGTGAGATCAGATATTGTGTCAAAGTGGCCGTTACGCAACGCACTTTGGGAGATCAGATTTTTGCTCCGACGGATGAGGGCACCCCTTCACCATGTGTTTCGAGAGGCCAACTCGGTGGCTGATGCATTGGCTTCCTTGTAGATGGGGGGGCAGCAGTTCTACGCCTCAATTGCGGCCCTGCCACCCAGAGCCAGAGAGGAGGCGCGGCTTGATCGTTACGAAGTACCCCGTCTGCGTGAGGTGCAAGTTAGGGCTTGAGTACTTGTTTTCTTGCTTGCTCCGTTTTTTTTTTCTCTCTTGTACCCCTCTCTCATTTGAATAAAGTTTGGCCTGACCACCTTTTTCCAAAAAACAAAAATGATGCATAAAAATAGTAGCAATGAATTGCTACAAAATAGTGTTATATAAGTGGACACTAAAGGGACCCTTTATTTATTTATTTATGGTAAGGAATGTAGACAAAGCTCACCATACCTTTTCTTATTTTCCAGTAATGTATAAGAATTTCAAACAAAATTGGTATTAAAATATTCAATTGAATTTGGAACAACATTATACTAATTTTTTTTAATTTGTGCAAAAGTGCTATATAAGTGGCCACTCAGGGGACCCTTTATTATTATTTTTTTTAGCAACGAAGAAATAAATAAATGGTGCATAAAAATAGTAATAGTTAATATATCCAAAGAGCATTAAATAGGTGTCCAAACAAGGAAGCTTCTAATTTTTCGCTAATATAGAGGAATTTGGAGGAAAATGTATCCTGATTTTTTTGGTTAAATTATTAAATTATGTTCATTAATAGCAAGTATCTTTCATTAATATAGAAAAATTTTGAACAAAATTTATCCTGGAATTTGTTGAAGAGAATTCCCAAACTTTGGTTAGCACGGGAGATAGCTCATTCTGGTTCAACAATTGGCTAGGCCACGGTCCCATAGCATCCGGGAAACACGATGTCCCGACCCCCAAATTGCTAATCAAAGATTGCTGGGTGAATGGGGCTTGGCATTTGCGAGAGGTTGAGAGCGTCCTTTCTCCAGGTGAACTACATGCCATCTCTTGCACTCGGCCCTACCTCTCAGCTGGCAAGGTGGACTCTCTCGCTTGGTGCCCATTACATGACAGACGGTTTAGCATCTCCTCAACAATAAAGATGCTAAGGCGGCAAGGCAATTCAATGTTATCCCGTAAACTCATGCTGACGGGCTCTCCTTCTTCGGAATGAGCACAATTAAGGTGCTTGCAACACTCTTCAGGATCGGTACTCTACAAAAGAATTCACGAACTGCTTGCAAAATGATGCGAATGAGCAAGCTGCCTATGGTGTGCAAGTAGATCCTGTGAAGGTCCCTCAAGGACCCATGACAAGTGCACGAGTTAAGAGGTTCAAAGACCCACTTCAAGCCTTAGTTCATGCCGTTCAAGCTCAAGAGCAATCGTGCATTGAAGGAATGGACATGGAGGATCCTTGCAAGACTACCAAGATTTTGTTTACAATTGAAGATGCAAGTGATCAAGCTTCAATAGCCGATTGGGCCAAGATTAGTTAGCTCATGTTGGGCTTAGAGGGCCGGCCTTGTGGGCCTTAGTTCTATTAGTTAGTTAGTCAATTAGCTAGTTAATTAGGTTAACTTTTGGCCAAGAGGAAGATAACATGCTGGCTGAATTTCTTTAGTAAGTTTCCAAGTTTTATTAGGTTTAGACAAGGCTATAAATAGCCCCAAAGTTGATGTTTACATTCAGTTTTTGAGAATTCAATAAAAATTTCCAGAATTTCGTCCATTCTTGTGGCAAATTCCTTTAGCTTGTGAAAGCTAGTTTGAGCATCCTAGAGTTGATCCTAGGTTGTTTCTTGACTTATCAATCAAGCAAACACACTTGATTGTGGCGTCCTCTACCGTTGAATTCATTCTTGAGTGGTCCAAGTCTGGGTTCAACTCTGTCAATTCCACAACGTGTCCTCTAAGATCCTAAGTTTGCTTCCACGCTCACATCACAAAGGTTGTGGGATATCGTGTCCCAACAGCTTATGTAGAAGAACCCTGTGTAACCATTCACTCCTACTGCATTGTGGCTGTCTAAGTCAAACACAGCCCGCTTAACCTCTTCCAGCGAAACCTCACGCACCAGGTCATCGTTTTGTGCTTGTGTGACCAAGGTTGGGATCAAGGTCAGAAGGCTATCCTCTGCTGATTCGCTATCCAAGGAGTGTTACTGCGATAGCAGGTGTTAGAAGAAGAGAGCTGCACTTTGGCCAATCACGCTCTCATCCTCCCATAAAGTGCCATTGATGTCCTTGATACGGTGGATAGAGAGAAGAGCACGCTTAGCTAGGATAGAGGAGTGGAAAAATTGTGTGTTGGAGTCCCCCTCCTTTAGCCACCACACGCAGGCTTTCTGTTTCCAATATGTCTCCTCGTCAGCAAGGGTTTTGAGAAGCTGTGCTTGAGCCCGGCTCCAATGGAGTCTAGCTTCCTTCGACCCTTCCTCCTCCAACCTAATTTCACTTATTCGGACTTCCTCTTCCGCGGCTGCCACATTGCTGAAGATGTTCCCAAATGCATTTTTGTTCCATTCGCGGAGCATGTGCTTCAGTTGCTTTAGCTTTGAGGAGAAGGCAAACATACTGTATCCGTTAATTTCCTGCTGCCAATTAGCGCGTAATACTTCATGAAAGGACGGGTGATTGACCCACATATGTTGGAACTTAAAAGCCCAAGGACAGGCTGGATTCCTACGCTGAATTTGGAATAGCAATGGGGAGTGGTCCGACCCTGCTCTATTTAAATGCTGCAAAGAAGAAAGGTGAAAGGAGTGCAGCCATTCCATATTGATTAGTACCCTATCCAACCGTTTCCATATACGTCTCCCCTGGCAAATTCCAGTCCAGGTGAAGCGGCTGCCGAATGCTGAGACAGAATGCAAGCTACAAGTGGAGATGGTATCCACAAACACCGTTATCGCCCCCATATTCTGCTGAGCTGGGCCGAGATATTCAACTATTGAAGCTGTTACGTTGAAATCGCCTCCCACCATCCAGGGTCTTGAGCCAACAATCTGGGAGAGTGTCAGTAAGTCTGTCGATAGAGGCTGACGCTCTGCTGTGGTGTACTTGGCGTACACGAACGTGCAATAGATTACATGGGGCCATCTGTCGCGTGTCACGGCCAGGTGTATATACTGATCAGAATTTCCCAGGACGGAAGCTGCAAAACTATCCCTCCACAGAACCCAGATTTTGTTGGAGCTGTTAAACAACCCCATCTTGAATTTCAGGGTGGTCGCAAGGCCATCTAGCCTCAAAGCCTCAACCATTGGTTTGATAATAACTAAAAAAACGATATTATGGATTTTGATGAGTTTCTGTAATCGGCGGAGAAATGCACGCCCAGCAATTCCATGTATATTCCAAATTAGGGCATTAATCATGATGACAAATAAATGGGGAGTTGGAGATGGCTTTAAAGTCCTGCCTGGTAATGATGGTTTTGGGTAGAGAGGCCACTCGTTTGGTCTTACTCCTTTTACTGACAATCCGGCTCACTGGTCTGGGGAGAAGCGCATCCATCCGGTGCTTGAACTGCTGAAGGTCAGTTAGTAGCTGCTTCCTAGGCACACGCATTTGCGGTGGTTCGTATTTTGAGCTGGTAAGAGGACTCCATCATGGGTGCCTAACTGTATGCAGGGGCTCCTCTTTGTATCGCTGTCTCCTTGTCACCCCACAATGGTGGCCTATTGAAGCTCTGCATTTCAGGTGTCTGCTTTCAGGGCCCCTCGTCTGGAGTGCTCCCGAGTTCTTGCCTCGTGACGTCATGAGAGTTTTCTGGTACCCACTGCTGCTCTTGGTCTGTTGGTGTAGCACTTTCTCCAATCTGTGGAGGGGCTTTAGGAGACCCATCCTTAGGTTGTTGTAAGACGCCATTAGCATCCTCGTGCCGCGGAGGCGGCTAGGCAATTGCTTTGGCTCTGTTTAGTCTGCATTCGGTAGCCGAGTGACCAAGCCTACGGTAGCATCTGCAATAATCTGGCACATTCTCGTACTCTATGCACTGCCAAAACCCTGCGGAACCATTCATGATCCAAATCCAGCCTGGGAGATCCTTTTGAAAGTCTATCTCTACACAAACTCAAGCAACGCTGGGTCTAGAAAGCATGGCAGTAGAGGCATCTAGTTTCAAGGGGTCGCCTATGAGAGAAGCAATGGAGAAGAGCGGTCCCTTGCCAAACAAATGTACTGGCAGATTGGGAAGTTGGATCCATATAGGGATAATGGGTAATTCAGACGCTACCGAAAAGGACGGAGTCCATTTAAGGACACGCATCCCGTACCCCTGGAAGGACCAAAATCTGCGAAGCCAGCACCTATAGTAATCCTTTTCCAAGTCAAACTGGACAAGGACATGTCTGGGGTCAAGCAGGCCTAGCGTAAAGGAGCCCTTGAAGCCGACTGCTGTGAAGTCCTTACGTAGGCCATCCATGGACGGCCGCCCCCTGCTGAACTTGCCTACCAGTGCAAACTCCAATGGGGCCGCCAAGGTCTGGACTTCATCGTGAGAGAAGGAGATTGCAGGTTCACCTTTGTATACTTCGCAAGGCTTCTGGAAGGCTGTGATAGGCTACGTGCTGGAGGATGTAAGGACGCTCGCAAAGGAGCGCTTGGAGAGAAGGATGCCCTTCATCCCAAGCGGGAGAAGGATGCCCTTCATCCGCGGCATGAAGGGCAGCCATGGTTAGGCCGTGGTTCTGAAGAGGGGGAGAAACCCTAGGCGTTGATAAAACCTAGAGATGTTTTTACGCTATGTTTATTAATACAAAGTAATAGTTAGGAAAAAAGCCATTTAAGGAGAGGAAAAACTTAAAGAAATAGGCAGGAAATAATAAATTTTGCATTATATGTTGTTTGTTTAATCATGTGATGCCCTCACCTCCCCCTAAAGCATACCCAAGGGTTTGGCGGACCGCCTACCCAACTCTCGCCAGGACTCACTCACATAATCGAAATTTACCAAATATTAACCTCAACAATGAGAGTAATAACAATTACAACCTTAGATATATACAATCGTGGACATCAAATGTCCATACAATATCTAAATACAGCCAAGGAGTCAAGCTTATAAAATAAAACCAAACCAGCCCACTAAAGAGCTAAGGAGCGCCTACGTGAGCAACTAACGAAACTTAAACAAAGTCTATGTTTTTTTCAATTCCCACTCTCATGTTCTTACCCCTGTAAGGAAAATAAATTCACGGAATGAGCTATATAAGCCCAGTGAGGTTCCAAGAAAACATGCAAGTAAACTAGCAAGCATGATATAATGTATAGCAAAGTAGGTACTGAGATATATCATGCAATAGTGTATGAAAAGGAACACGTTCATGTCAAAAGATATAGTCTGCTTTCAAGAGCAGGTACTACGGCAGCTTGTCTAGGGTCCGTTGACTCTCCGTTAATCATGAAAGTATAATGTCCGTAGATCACCACTAAACGTCAATCCCCGTCTACTAATCATCCCCCTACGGGGCCCGAATGCCAATCAAGTATCCAGGGTTCGTCAATCTCCTCGACCAAACCCTTGCCGGCTCGATTCGACCAACTAACCCTGGGTTGGGCTTATAGCCTCAAGTATTCAAGTATTCATGAGTGGAGTCGTTGGCTGTGACCCAACACTCACGCAGGTAATAATTGGAGACGTTAGTTGTCACCTAACGCTCCGTATTCAAGCATGTCACGAGTTCAAGTCATGAATTCAATTCATGAGTAAACAGGTTAGGAACTTCGTCCTTTACCCAACCTTACCCGACCGCTCTAAGGCTGGTCTCAAGCAAGGGGTCCAATGAGGGCTCAGTTTAGCTATTACCGACCTACATTCACGCATACGCATGAGTAACCCAAGTTTGCACTTACTCGATGTCTCGGATAAGGGTCCATAGGCCCAGTTCAACCGCTGCAAGAAGATATACAGCCGGTCTACAATCATGCACATGTACATGCAAGTCTGCACGCAAGATCAGATATTTCAAGTTCATGGAGGTCGAGTAAACATGAGGACACATTCACCTAGCCATGATCAAGTCACAAGTAAGCTCAGCATGTCATGTTTTCAAGCATTTCAAGTATTTTAAATCAAGATACATGTTACATGTAAATCAAGTTACTTGTACATGCATGAACGAGATATTAAAAGTTTAATCGAATTAGGTCAAGTGCGATAAAGTACACACTCGCCTAAGAAATGACAATCAAGTGCTTAGCAATTTCTTACAACAATGAGCATGAAACATGCAGTTAGAACACTCACTAGTTCAAACAGAGCAACGTTAAACGTTCGTCTCCAGGTTATTTGCGTATTCACCATCAAACCCTAAGAGCAACCAAGATAAAATATTATGGACCAACCATTCAAAAGTTAGGTGAACGAAGTTCACATGTTAGACTCAACTATGAGCCATACACCTATCCAAGTTGCCTCTCAAAACACAAAGTTCAAAGACAAATTTGAAAGTGAAAGTCAAGGAAAATCCAAGTGCATTCTAGGGCAAAGATTCAAGTATGGTTTTGGAGTGAAATGAGAGCATTTGGACCTAAGAAACATGAGCAACCAAAGAGTTCCACATTTCATTTCATTGCTGGAAATTTCCAGCAGCAAAACAGTGAAGAAATCAAGGTGGTTCACCCTTTTAAAGTTATTGGATTCACTCCAATTCAACACACCTTTGTAGTTCAAGGTTTTAGCAAGTGATATGAGCGATTGAGTCCAAAAAGGCCACCAAATAAGGGGACATTAAGGCTAAGATGGTAGGACAACTTAACTGCCATCCAACCAGAAATTTTTTAGAAAAGAAACAAGCACAACGTGAGGTTTTCACCTTCCAAAACTCATGGTTTTCGGTCAAGTTCAACACACAAAATTCCTAACCAATGTTTGGAACAAGTTTTGGCCAAAACTCATCATGAAAAGGTTGGAGAAAAACAAGGTAAAAGGCTTCACTATCCATTCAGCCAACAAGCAACAATCGCAGCTAGCAAATTAGAGAAAATTACCAATGAAAACCCTCCATTTCATCTAGAATTCAACACATAAGTAAGGCTTAAAGGTTTACCAAGTATCTTAGGCAAGTTTACCATAAAATCTGCCCACAATTGAAGAAAACAAGCTACTTCCGAAATTGGACAGCATTTCCCCCTATTTTCCTCTAAGTTTCCTTCCAAACTCAATGCTTATCTTCCTAGCAATCCATCCTCAATCACAACCACAAGTTATAGGCTATAAAGGACACTTGTTTAAGGCCACAAAGTCACCCAAATTAGCCGATAATCTAGCTCAAAAGCAACCATAATAAAGCCGGACAAATGTGACCCTAAGCTCAAATTTACTACTACAAGATGAAATTTTCTATAATGAAGCCAAAATAACATATAAAAGCTAGAAAATTCACGTAGCAAAGCTAATAGATCATAGCCAAGCTCAAATCAACATATCAAAACTGAAATTTCTCACTCAAAGCTGGAATTTTCTAATCACCACACAAACAATGAAATTTTCCATGTAATCTACCAAAATCAAACCTTAAATCCGCTCATATGCAAGTAATAAAAGAAAAGATGGTTTCTTGATATGGTTACCTTGAAACCCTAAGAAGAAATGAAAACCAAGAGCTTCTTTCTCCCAAATCTCTCCACCAAAGTTCTTAATCCTTCCTAGATGTCACCTTCTATGGAGTAGTTTACAAGCTTAAGATGAAAACTTAAGAATTCAAGCAAGATTGGAAGGTTGAAGATGAAGTTGTTCCTCTCCTTTCTCCCTCAAGAAACTCAGCCAAGAAGAGAAAGAATAAAGGGTTGTTTTGGTCAAAATTTGTTTTTATTAAAGGCTAAGAATGGTCTTAGTCCAAGTCAAAGTTCCATGGCTTGGTTGACAAGTGGCTTCCAAGGGTTAATCCCCATCCTATTGTCTTCCAATTACTAAGATATCTAGTCAACCCTAATTATTTCTTTACAGCTTATAAAATAATATCCCTTTGTATAAAACTCCTCATAATCTTCAAAATTTATCGCACACACCTCACTAGTGGGTCCTACTTCCATAATGCACTATGAACTTAACTTGTACAAACTTATAGAAGAAAAATGTTTTAAAACTTGACTCACTTATAAAAATATCTAGGAAATTAAGGTAGTAAAGTAAAGTAAATAAAATAAAATAAAATAAAAGTAGTTTTTTTCTGGTCCTCACAAATCATCTATTGATATTATTATTTTTTGGCTATTTAAAATGTACATAAGTAATTAAAACTCACCATTATTTTTTACC